CACAGCGGTGTATAGTCTATTTCATAAAACATGAGAAATCGATAAGCAAAACCTTTCGAGATAATTTTCTTTTATAATGCATGTCTTTTTATTTCGCGTACTCTCTAAGCGCACGCATCTGTCATGATTAGTTTGCAATGGGGGAATGTGCGATAAATCGGAGTGTAAAGGCTTGACTAAATATTAATATTTATTCAATGATAAACGTTGTAAGCTAATTATTAGAGAATGACTTACTACTAATTATAAAATTGCTGCAATTTGCAAATTCTATATTTTGTGCCGTGTTTATATGTATCCTCGTTAAAATTTTTTTTTTTTTTTTTCAAAACTTCACACTCGATTGACTGAAACAGCATTTCCGACTTATTGCATTCAATTTTCAATTTCTATAATAACTTATCATATTCTGTTTTACAAAATATTCTATCCCATCGTATAAAAGCCCTGTGATTCCATAGAATAATAGAAATGTTTTTTCCGCAGTAAAATATTTTGAAAAATATTTATCATAGATAGAGATAATATACATAAAAATTTTTCTGTCATTTTATAGAAATAATTATTTCCTCTGATTATTATCACTTTATTGAAGTTATCAAATTTGATAATTTGCATTTATGTTTTTCTTAGTTTGATGTAATTGCATTTACATGCTAATAAATAAATAATAAATTTCTGAAGACTTATTATAAAACTCATTATAGTATATGTCTAATCGTGAAACTCTTAAGTTTAGCGAAATACATTCATGAAAAAGAGTTGCATACTGATAAAAATGTGGTTATTAAAAAGTCCACTTTAACCCTCGGTATAAAACGTAATTACATGTACGAAATATTAATAAAGCTGTTATTACGCTTGGCAAAATATATGACGAGATGTTGTGTAAAACTGTAACTATCAAGCGGACGCGACGTTGTATAGAGTGCGCCATTTCTATTTTTATGCATTATTTTTATGCATAATTAGAATAGCAACATTTTTTACCTAATTACTCTTTTATAATAGGTCTGCATGAATTAGTATTTGTTCAAAATTTGTGCAATAAATTATGTACATGTACATATATATATATATAAAGTTGACAATAGAAATTATAATTTCTTGCAGGTGTAGACTGCTAAAAAAGTGACAAAATGATACTTTTAACAAATAATAAAATTCAAAAAAATGATACAAAATAAATCGAAACATTATAGATATATAGTTTTACATCAATTTCGATAGATTTATTCACTCAAATCCACTTTCAGATTCCGATCAACTCTTCTCTTTTTCTAATAGAAATAGATAAATTTTTAGCAGGCATTAGATTTTGTAAGAATCACGCAATCTCGATGTTACTCCGATTTTGTACTTCGGAATTAGCTACGTACTTAGCCAACGTATCGATAAGCCTCGCAGGCTCTCGGCTCTTTCTCCTTCTCGCGGAGAAGGATAAAGATATCTTCTTAATATCGTCGGAAAACAATTTTTCCCGAGCTACCTCGAGTACGAAATGGCCGCGAGCGGGTGGCGAATTGTGCGCCGCGCCGACCCGGCCACGAATATCCCGACGTTATACGAACAAACAACGTAAGCGCGGGCGGCAAGCGGAGAGATAGAGATGTAGTGGGCTAGGCGTAGGTTTTGATGGTAGCCGGTGTGTACGGCGATGCGGTATACGTGGGGTAGGTAGGTAGGTCGGTTAGGGCAGGGGCCGGTTGGTCGCGCGGGGGGTAGGAACGGGCAGGGAAGGTTTGGATATCTTGTCGAGGATAGGCTGCCGGTGCAAGTAGGTTTAATATTTGATAACGCGGGCTGGTCATCCTGCCGAGGCGATAACACAGGCCCCGCGGGAACCTTCCGCCCAACATCCCTCGGAAAACGACTGCCGCCAAACTCGCAGTGTCCCTCCGCCCTGCACCCCCGGTCCCTCCTCCCCCTCCCCGCCGCCTTCCCGCGATTCTCTCTCATCCGCATCCACCGGTGTTCCAACGGTCCGTTCCATCTCTTACCGACCCCGTTCTATCCTTCCTATTTTTCTTCTTTTTTTTTGCTCTTTTTTTTTTCGTACACCGGAGCTCGTTTCTCGAAGCGTTATCTCCTCGTCCGGTGCTTCTCATGCATCCGCTTCCGTTTCGCGACGCCGATGTAAGGGACGATTGAGTGCGGACTACAAGAGATAAAATAACCGATACCGAAACTCACTGATGGAATAAACTGTTTAAGCTGCTTAAATTAGTTGAAATTGCTATCAAGTCGTTAATAAAAAAATAGTAAAAAAGTTATGATTTTTGTTACGATTTCGAACAATCGGAAAGACACTCTACATACACACATACATAAATATATATATAATATATACATATAAACCACGACGTTAATATATTATGTATACGCAAGAAAAAAGGGTCAATCTTTGTGTACGGGTCAATTTCATTGGCATCTCGGAGAATCATATATAGGAAACAGCTTTATTCGTTTATTCGATCGACCGAAATCCCGAAGCCTTGCGGGACTAACAGAGGGGTCCTGGGTTACGGAGGGTCCACACGGTACGTTAAAAATTTACTATAAAACAGCTCACACAAGTCTGCACTTACTGCGAAGATTTGCTTGCTCAAATTTCCGTGTACGTGGTCGTTAAAATCGTCGCGTTAATACCGAGACAAATGTTTAGAAATTTTATCTAGCGATTTTTTATAATTAAATTAGAATATCGTCGTGGAATATACGATTAATTGAGTATACGCGTCATTTATTTTTTTATAGATTATGTATCTTCTTTCAAGAGAAATGCTAGTTTCATTATCATTTATCGATTGAAAAATAAATATGTTTAATTGTTGAGAGAAACAAGATTAAAAATGTTGCAATATAATGCAAAACAAACGCGTTTCTACTTATTTTACCCTTTTGTCTCTTTAATTATAGTTTTGACTACAACATGTGCTTCAAGGCTGTTTTAATGATAGCGTAATGCTTTTGCGTGACTTGAGTATTTCAAGGGACGGGATAAATTGAACAAAGTATATAATTATAATGCCAATTGCATATGAGATACCTATTTTTAACATAATTCATACCTTGTACGTCGTCGCGCGTATTTCTTTAGTCCCACTTTGTCATCATGCAAATGTGGTATAAAATTAGAAGTTTCAATGGCAATCTTATATATATATATATATTTTAATATTAAATAGAAATTTATCAAGCGTCCATAATTTTCATATTTGCTAAAACGAATTCTATACTTATAAAATAAATCATAAAATGAAATGTAAATAAATTTAATTCAAATAAAGTTCAAAAAACATTAATCCATATTTACAGCCCGCTAATCGGCGTTATAAGCGTATGTGCGCGTATAACTCTCTGCTCGAGTTTTAAAATTTATATATTTCAAATGAAAATTGCATCCGATGTTATATTATGTGGAATTACGTGGATAGATAAGCGCTTAACGTGAGAACTGGACATGTGCCGTTGCACTTGTCATTGGTGCATTAAGAATATTTTAATTATAATTTGATAATAATATAAATTATATTGATACGGATTGTAATAAATTTTAGTTACATTTCGAAATTTCTCTCTCATGATAAAGATTTAAAATAAATTTTACAATGTATGCAATTTCTGCAATCATGAACGTTTAACATGGGAAATGAATTTGTGCCTGCGTTACGCGTATAAAAAATATTCCAACCAATTTTTTATAACAATGTAAATAACACAACGCAATGGCTTAATGGATTTCAGTTGTTTCGTCAGTCAAAGTTTCGCCATGAGAGGACTTGGAGTAGACTTTATATATACGCATGATTTTTACGATCTGAACAAGATAAGCTTGCCTATCGTTCATTTTGAGATGACAATAACGTCAGATTTGAGCGCGCCTTGTTAGGAAGAAAAATATAAAGTGATTGTTGAAAGAATTGGGGGAGAGACAAGGGAGAGATCTGATTTTACTAATACGTCAATGACAAAGCCGTCGTGACAGTGTGTTTTGCTTGGGTCAACGAAAGTGCAATGTATTATGCACAAAATGTGAGAAAAAGGAGCATCATCCGTTTCTGTACCGACACGCGCGACGGCGAGACTTATGTGGGGATGAAGTTCGTTTCGAATGACAACTTTCCGATGTGGAAAGGTGTGCAGCGAGCGGTGGAGAAGTAGATCGAGCGAGATGAGAATAAAAAAAAAATGCGCATATTATAAAATATGCGTAGTAGTGAGTAGTAAGTGCGAAGGAGATGCAACGGAGAAAGAGAGAGAGGGAAAGGGAGAGAGAAAATAGAGATTTATAATCCCGACGATAAAGATTACAATAAGCACGCGTAGATATTTATACATCGTCGAGATATAACGATAACGCGACTTATGACGTTTGCGTACAACCGAGCGCGCGAGTAAAATAGAGCTGATATTCGCCATGGAAGAGAAAGACGCGCCGGAAGAGGTTACAGAGATGTACGGGCGGGAAGACAGGCAAGATGTAAAAGATAGAGATAGGGAGAGGGAGAAGGATAGACTTGGCTCAACTAGAAATATAGAGAGAGGGTGTAAAGAGGATCGAGCGCGAGTGGCGGCGGCGAGCAAAACGTAGACGTGGAAGGGTGAAGGGACGTCGAGATGTACACGCGCATACATACGCACACCGACACAGGGCATACGCACACGAGGAAGGATGGACAAACGGGTGGTCGCGGTTAGCGACACCCATGCGAGCAACCCCTGAAAGCAACGGCAAAGATGGCCGACGTGCATGAGATTAGGGGCGCAAGCGTAACCGCGCGTAGCTCCGCCCCCGTTCACCGGGACTCTCCGTTCCGCTGGCTAACTCACCCCCGCCGCGACAAAATCACCCCCTCGCGAAACGAGGAGCGAACCCTCCCGCCGTGTGGGCAAGCGCCACGCTGCGCCGCATCGCGTCAGGACCGCCGATCCTCCCCGCTGCATCCCCCACCTGCACCCCCGGACGGACAGCAGCACTCCTGCCATCCCCCTGGAAGAGTTCATCCGCGAGGCGCTCCTCGCCGGCCAGTCAGCGCCAAAAAGTGCAGAGCTTCGGGACAAGAGTCCGCCGTACTGTACCCCCGCGCGTACTTCAACCCCCTGTGTATGACAGTGTGAGCCGGTATACCTCTCTCTCTCTCTTCCCTTTTTCCCTCCGAAAGGCAGTGTCACTCCGAGTTAATCCCCCCGAGTGCCTCGCGGGACACGAAGAATCCGGTGACTTCGTCGCTCGGTGGATCGTTTCGTTTTCTCGGTCCTCCATCCTTAGCGGGACACACGCTGGTGAAATCCGAAGTGAAGTGAATCCGAAGTAGAGCGTGCGATCGATTTTACAATTTCTTTTTGCGGGAGAAAAAAAAAAGAGAAAAAAAAGGTGCTCGGAGAGATCGTGATTATTGTTATCGTCGACACGACGGGGTGCGCGCGGTTTTCGTTGACTGTGCTTACGTCGCGTGGAAGCGACGTTCAAACTGACTATCGAGATGCGGGACCGCGGGTCTCTGGCATCCGTCGAATCCACGCTTATATACTGATAAATTCTCGATTAGGTGAGTGCATTAGGTGAGTGCCAGGATCATCCCCTTGCGGAATACATACGCGTACTGGACGTGGTGTCGGGGCTCCGCACGGTTCGGTGAACGTGAACGGTGAACGTACTTTGAATTACTTTGAAATCAACCCAGACATCACGATAATAACACAGATGCGAATGCATCTTGGAACCGAGAGGCGCAGCCGTCGCTGCCGGTATCACCTACGTCTCGTCTGAGAGTGCCGCCCGATTCCGGAAGCCGGGAGAGCCGGAAAACGCGGAGGAGGCCTAAGGCTTAGGCGGCACGCAAGATGATGTACTCGCCGGACAAGATGATGGGGAGCAAGGGACTCCACGGGGCACCCATCACCGCCCCGGGATGCTTTCCCTCGGGGAGATACTCGCCGCCGCCTTATCGCGCCGCGCCGGATCCGATGCCGCCGCCACCGAGGCGATGTATGCCGAACCCTACGGTGAGTGATATTACCAGTTCCCTACAATTTCGTCCAATCGCACCCACCGCCCCTCGATAGAGAAACCCGCTCGATAGACTTTCGAGCGGTTGTAAAAATACTTTGCGACACAGTTTTCACAATCTATCTCAGATTGCGAGAGCTCAACGTTCATCCGAGTTAAACCCGCGTGTTGCAATGATAAGTGAATTATAGTAGATGTTCTCAATGCTAGAATATGATTTTTCTCCTTCTGTATAAGACATAATTCACCCTTGTTTAAAAAAATCTTTATAATCTTTTAGAAAAAAAATAAAATGCATCTCTCATACAAACTTTTAAACGAATATTTTTGCGTAGATTATTTAATAACTAATACTGAAATAAAATATTCGAAAACATGAGTCAAAATGTGTATTAATTTAACATAATTATCGTATTGTGGAACTCTGAATAATATGAGTAATAAATAAAATAATAAACAATACATATATATATATA